TTCCATATCAATAAGACTAATTATGGCTTTGTTGTTCTTGAGAAGAAGATTTTTAAAGATTTTTTTTCTATATATTCTCATGTAAAACTTTGATCCCCCATTGTGGCCCCATCCTTCCCCCGGGGGTCACGATTTGAATAAACTTGAATCTACACTACCTGAGGATGATTCCATATCAATATGACTAATTGTGGCTATGTTGTTCTTGAGAAGAAGATTTTTAACAAGAGGCCCATGGGCCACTTCGCTCACCTGAGCACATTGGCTAGGAAAAAGCACAAATCACTTCATTATTGAAAAGTTTAAGGGGGGGGGGCTTGGATTTTGAACTACCTGAGGATGCTTCCATATCAATATAACAAATGGCTTTGCTGTTCTTGAGAAGAAGATTTTTAAAGATTTTTTTCCTATATATTCCCTTGTTAAAACGTTGATTCCCCATTGTGGCCCCACCCTTACCCTGGGGGTCATGATTCGAACAAAGTTAAATCTACACTATCTGAGAATGCTTCCATATTAATATGACTTAACAAGGCTTTGCTGTTCTTGAGAAGAAGATTTTTAAAGATTTTTTTCTATATTCCTATGTAAAATGTTGACCCCCCATTGTAGCCCCACTCTAACCCTGGGGGTCATGATTCGAACAAAGTTAAATCTACACTATCTGAGAATGCTTCCATATCAATATGACTTAACAAGGCTTTGTTGTTCTTGAGAAGAAGATTTTTAAAGATTTTTTTTCTATATATTCCTATGTAAAACTTTGATCCCCCATTGTGGCCCCACCCTAACCCTGGGGGTCATGATTCAAACAAAGTTAAATCTACACTATCTGAGAATGCTTCCATATCAGTATGACTTAACAAAGCTTTGCTGTTCTTGAGAAGAAGATTTTTCAAGTTTTTTTTCTGTACATTCCTATGTAAACTTTGATTGCCCACTGTGGCCCCACCCTATCCCCACCCTATCCCCAGGGATCATGATTTGATACAAACTTGAATCTGCACTACCTGAGGATGAATCCACATCAATATGACTAATTGTGGCTTTGTTGTTCTTGAGAAGAAGATTTTTC